GGTGGGATCGACCAACGAATCTCTTCTTCATTCATATTCATACGAAATGAAAGTCCCACCCACAATCACTGTATAAGCATAATGACTTTGAGAAAATTTGCAAAATATCTGAAAACTATTTTTCGTGTCAGGTGTGTTCACCCTATTTAATTTAAGATGATGAAAAAGGTGGAAATGCAGTCCGCTCCTGCCTGAATGTGAAATCAATGAAGACATGAGGCCTAATCATATGATTGTGGGAGAATTTAATTACACCAGTCGTTCATCGTGTCAAACGAAATAGGATGAATACAGCTCTTAAATGTAAAAAATATGCCTTAAGAATGAAGGATAAGGTTGACATTTATGAAATCTAAGTAGCGAGCGAATATACTATGTAATTATGTTACTCATTAACAACAGGCAAAATAAGAACAGGCCATTGGGCACCACTGGTTCTTAGGGCATTTTGTGATATAACGATTGAGTCACCCTAGTTGGTGTAAGATGAGGTGATAAGTGATTATGAAGTTGAACTAAAAATGAAATGAATATACCTGCTTCCAAAAGGATTTTTCGACAAGTTGAGATGGCCTTTATGACCTCATCAGGGCTTTATGGGCAACCTCAACTGGATTCGGGACAGTTCGCACATACACAGCAACACTTTCTATGTGATCACAGGATAAAGGAGAATTTAAAGGCAAACCTGGCCTCTCCAAAATAACATTTGTAGTGGGATTGTTGATGAGGCAAACATGTATTTGCCATTACAATTTATGAGGTGCTCAGTATTAGCAGATTTCGAAACTAGCAGTAATATTTTGATAAGAAGTTAATAGTCCTATGTCACTTAAGCAGATTTAGGGACTAAAGAGGACCTAGGCGATGTTAAATGGGAAAACATTTTAAAAGGCAAAGCTATGTGAACTTTGATGGCATTGTGAGATTTATTTACTAAATTGTGAGAAAAACATTATTGTCATTCCATAAATCATCGTAAGAAGCCAAGGGTGACTAAGGATAGTTTGGTAAATTGTTCATAGCGAATACTTTGCGAAATATCCTGATTAGAAAATATATCGTAGAGGTGAAGACTTTTAGCTTGACAACAGTCTCCTTCCAATGGGAAAAATGGGTTTGGTATTACTTTCGAAATTTATTTACAACTACTACAAGACTCTACATTACATTCCTCAGCATCTTTTCGATTTGACGCAACACAGGCATTTTCAGTGCAAATTACCTGAAGGTCACCTTCTATCGCTAAATCAATTATAAATATGAAAGTGGGTTGACTTAGTTGTCGCAACCTAATCTTGTTGTCAGGGGGACTTAGTTGAACACACTTTGTCCGAAATCCTCTGCCATATTGGTTATCCTAATTCCCAGCATCGGACCGTGAACTTGGTACGGAGGACTTCGGACAAGGTGAGTTCTTCTAAGTCGCCCTGGCAACAAGACCACTTCCATAAATCGAAAGTAGAATGCGACCATACCAGGGTCCACACCATCTTGGTCTTCATATCTTCGATAAAAATATGAAAGTTTAAAAAATAGCCAAACATTTATTTAACACATAATCTTGGTAGTTTTCCATCTTACGGTAAATAGAAATGGACAGCCCCAACCTACCGATTGATGAGATTTATGACAAGATTGATAGTCAACTGGTACAGTCCATTCACGAAGCCCTCCAAGAGGCTGACGGGTCGCCGAGACAGTGGACTCGATGCTTCTCTGTCCGGCAAACCGGAGGAGGCTGCGTCAGTTGCGAAGGGATTTTGCCGAGCTCTTCGTTTATCACCTGTACAGCCGGAACTGGCGCCCGACAACCAGTCGGCACAGAAGATGGCCGCCGTCAAGTCCTCGATCGAACAGCCCAAAAGGTATGCGGCTCTTTGTGCAGCCGCCAGGTTGGTGAATCCCGGCGACTTGAATGGATCCGAGCCGACGGCTTCGTACGAGGTCGTCTGTGAGGGCGGTTGACCCGCGACGTAGCGACCGCCCACCCATTTGATGTCAGCTTCACGAGCCCCGGCCACGGGGCTCCCATTGAGACTGAGGCCACCGAGAGAGGCTGACTTTGTTGCCGCCGACGGCCACGTCGTCTCCGCTCCAGTTGCCGCCGGTGACGGTTGGCTCGAGGCAGCGCAACCAGCACAGCCGAGGTGGTAGATGATGGCCAAGAGGCGGGCGACGCCGCCTGCCAACCATTCATCGTGAAGGTGCATGCCGAGCTGTTCGGCGGCCTGACACAGGCGTGTCCATTGTTCGCGAGCATCTTCAATGTCTTCGGGCTAGCCATGGCAACGAAAAGAGAGGGTGTCAATGAAGGCACTTTGAAGAGCAATTGTAAATCATGCATTGCTAATGTTTGTGGCAAGGAAAGGCCACAAGCTTGAGGGAGAATGTGCATTTGTTTGGGGAATAGGGTGTGACAAAAGGCAAAAGTCAAAGCCATGAAATGGAAATGGGAATTTTCGGCGACGAAAAATCCTTCAAGAAGTTATTTTCGACGAGAGAATAGTTTGAGCAGTAGACCATCAGTAAATCTTAAATGTGAATTTAGTCGTTCTAGACATAAAGGCGAAAATTGTGTGGCTTTGGGTTTGTAAGAAATCTCCTTAAGTTGTATGCAGACAAGCCGTTTTTAATACAAGTAATTCGTGCACCAAATAAGTCGCCTTATTCAAAGAAATTATAACATATGAAATCATGCAATTGATTCAATCCCAGTGATAAAGCTTGATAGAACTTGAATATAGAACAATTATTTATCCCATTTTTAATGTTATATAATGTAGATAGTAATAGTAACTGGGCTTGGATGAATCATCTGAGAAAAACTGTTGGTGAGACCTTCATTTCGTATAAAAATGGATGAAGAAGAGATTCGTAGGTAGATCTCACCAGAAGGTGATTGAATCCTGTCGTACTGAAGCCATTTGCTTTAATGCGACATTTACATTG